TTAAGTCACTAAGGAGTGTCATAACTTTCTCATGATAGTCTTTCTGGTTCAAAATCACTGTGCACCTTCCTTTGTCTGCTGGGAGAATGATGATGTTTTTGTCCTTGCTAAGAGTGGTGAGTGCGTCCCTCTCCTCTCTACTGATGTTGGAAGGTGGTGGTTTGGCATTGCTGAGGCAGGATGAAACTTTGATTCTGAGCTGTTCTGCTTCACCCTCTTTCATTTTGTTGTTGCGGATGGCTGATTCTGTGGCTGTGATCATCTCCACCAGAGGAATTCTACTTGGTGCAACCGCAAAGTTCAGTGCCCTGGCAAGAATCTCTGTCTCCGGCTGGGTGAGCTGTCTGTCAGATAAATTCTTCACCCACTTTTCTGTCTCCCTGGCATGTAATTGACTACTGGAGTGTTGTCCTACACTGAATGTGTTGTTATTGGAATAGTGATGGTGTTGATGAGTTGATGAGAGACTGAGCTGAAAACAGCACCTCAGACTGAGGAAGTCTCTTGGATGAGAGATGAAACGTTTCTAGATTTCTTTTGCTTTGTTTTGCTTTTGTTTTTTTGATTGTCCAGAGGACCAGATTGAACTTTTTTGGATTTAACTTTTGTTGTTATGTAGTAAAACAAATGGTTTGACTCCAAAGAAGAGCAAATCAGTTATGCTGGTGCTAAGATGGTGTCTTTGGTACGTCCCCTCCTCTTGTGCCAGCCCTCTTCCTCGTTGACAGTCATGTCGAACTGGTTCAAAACCAAAAAAGTCCATGCTCAATAATCCAGGTATACAATCCAACAATTTTCAGTCACGTCTGTTTGGGGGAAAAATCAGTTTTATGTGTGTTTCCTTGACCGATGAAGCCTTTTGGATGGAAGGTGAAACATTTCAACAAAAAAGAAACTGTACAGATGACCTGACTGAAAATTGTTGGCTTCTCTAATAGATAATTGTAGAAGTGCTAAAAAAGAGCCCATTTAAAGAATATCTAACCCTTTCCAAATTCACCCCATAAGTCCATTCCAACAAGCTCCTGCCTGTCAATGGTAATTCAAAGAAAATCCAGCAAAGCTCCAGCATTCCTTCCCTGCCCATGGTACTGCTAGAACTCTCTAAAGTTAAATTTAACCCAACAAAACCCAGAGAGAAAGCAAATGTTAGTTTATATCTTAGATCCATATTTACTGTTCCTTTGTACACTTTATATTTTTGCTATTGTTGGATGTAACTGGGACCCTGTGTACACAATTTTGTTCCACCTCATGTACCACATGTGATGTGAATGACAATAAAACCTCCTTGAACTTGAATGTTCAGGTGGGTTATAGCACAACCTGGAGATCTTTCTTAATACCTTAATACACACATCCAACACATGACTAATTGTGTTTATAAGATTACTGAAAAATATATTTATTACCAATGAAAAATATTTTTCAATATATTATTATTAAAGAATGAAACTGTAAGGGGAAAAGTAGAAAAATAACAGGTACAAATCTTACCATCTTCTCTTTTCTTGGCCCTCAAAGCAAAGATGTGGCACTCAAGAGATGAAACATGAATAATCCAAAGCAAGAGACAGCTGAACAATAATTCACTTCCAATACCTAAAAATGTAACCATGTCCGAAATACTTATGGTTAAATGACAGTAATTACAATCAAGCTTACAACTTTGAGCTAAACATGAGGCACTGTGCTCTCCAAGCTGGAGTTTTGTTTATGAACTTTGAGCCACCTTTTGTGTCAATACAGAAAAGACAAACAGAAAAAGAAGAGCGGCTTCCAACAAGCAGGTGCTGGTCTTTTACCATTTCAATTAACAGGCAAGGTCTTTCATAGTAAATCATTACAGAGTCAACAGAAATGTGAGCTTATAGCAGGTTTTCAGAGAATCTTTCCTTCTAAATGACATCCTGGAGCTCATTATGGAAATTCAGAAAAAAAAAAAATATATATATATATATATATATATATATATATATCCGCCGTGATAAACTTACTATAATGAAAACAGTTTATATTGTGTTTGAAATTCATCAACCACAGCTTATGCTTGATAAGAGTTCACAAACTCCTTCCCTTTAAAGATATTTGCCACAATTCATGTAAAATGAAAATGAATGGTCTACAACTATCGTAAAATCATTGATCTTATTTTTAGATACAGTTCAGCTCAATACGACACTAATCTGCTCATTTGAAGCTGGTCAGCATGTTAAATGTTATGTAAATGGACTGTACTTATATATCACCTTTCTATCTTATTTCAAGATCCTCAAAGCTCTTTACAATCTGTGCCTCATTTACCCATTCATACAGCTCTATACTAGATCTCTACAAAGATAATTGAACAAATCACTCTAAAGAAACTAATCAGTGCTTCATCACATTCATACACTGATGGACACACATCAGAGGCTGTGAGGGGTTCAGTGTCTTGCCCTGAGACACTTCAACATGTGACTGCTGGTGGATTCGAACCCCCAACTCTCACATTGGAGGACGACTGCTCTAACCACTCAGCCACAGCTGCCCAATGAAATAGTGGTTTGGTAGAATATCTGTTTTCTTTAAAAATGTCTCATTAAAATTCTCATAACAAGTAGTTAGTGTGGCATAAGATAAAATGTCAAAGTGTCTTCATATCACAGATCTCACAGAACAAGACTCTGTGTCCACCATATGAAAAACAATGCTCATGTCCTTATTTGCATAGTTCTCATTTAGTTGCCTGGCTTTAACCAGGGAAGAGGTGTTTGCTGCGTACATCCAGTGAGAACACGCTGTAATGTAGCATCATTAAACGAAAGCAGCCAGAAACATCAAAGTGCCAGCTGTTCTCTGGAACGTTGCCTAAACTGACAGCTAGTGAACTCCGGCACAGAGCTGCAGTTTGATGGAGATTTTAGCCAGCATCACACCTTTCGTCATTCTGAAGATGAGAATGCTTTGAAAACATCTCAACTGTTTGTAGAGGACAATGATGGTGAAGAACTTCAAAAAGGAAATTATGAATTTGGTAAGCAGTAAGTACCTAAAGTACTTGGACTGATATTTCTGCAGTATTTCTTTATCAAGTTCCAATAAAATGAAATGGATTAGATGCAGTTAGACAGTGACATGTTAATTTATGAATAGACTGACATGTGAGGAGACATTAATCCAAAATGAGCATTTTTTAAAGAATACATTTGGTATATTTCATATTAAGCTAAAAACGTATCTGCTCTGCAACCAGCCAAGTTGAGCACAACACGTCAGTTCCCATGTGTTTCTGATAAACAGCTGTTTGGATGTATTGACCTTGGTTATGAGGAGTGGCTCTCGATGCTCCAGTCCTCCTCTGAGTGTAAACCCCCACGGCGCCCCTCCTGATAGAAACACCTCCACCAGCTTCCATCCCTCTCCGTCGCTGCTCCTCAGATCCACATCTCCTGATTTCTGTGACACATGCCAAAAGTTCTCTGCGTCTGCGTAGCCCCAATATCTCTCTGCGTCCATCGTCCTGTTATCAACGAAATGAGAACGTTAAAGCAAGCCGCACAGACCATCACGTCTGCTAGAACATTACAAGAGCACGGTTTAACGAAACGACTCCATTTAAAAGGTTTCGTTTCACAGTGAACAGTGTCAGGAGCTGACATAAAATCCTTCAAAAGAGCAACTGAAGAGTTGGTGTTTGGGAGAGGTGCAGAATCTGCAGAGACCACTTCAGGAAATGAACGGTCTCATTTGACACTTTCGTTCTCTAATATACCACAATCATCAAAGACTGCTTTAGGCAAGACTTGTCTTCACTTTATTATTTATGAGTCAACATATATGTTCTGTTTAGCACTGCTTTGTTGGCGTAGAGTTAAAGAACCACAACAAAGGTCACAAATTGCATGTTAAGTTATAAAGGACATAAAATACATTGTATAGATACAACTTATTGAAATATGCTCATGAAAACTGTATGAAAATCAAATTAAGAGTCATATATCATTTTATACAAACATGTGATACCACTGCTTTGAAATACGTGAGTTTAAGAAAAAATAAGGAAGCAAAGGTTGTTTTTATGGAGTAACTAAATAAAAACCATGCATTTGAAATGTGATTTATTCATAAGAGATGTGCGAAGATGAACAAGCATTGGCTCTTCTGAGCTCTTAATTTGAAAGGACCTTGAATAAACACACTGAACATGAGATCAGGAAATATTCTTTTAAATAAACCCAGTGATTCTGAGACGAGTGGAAGTCTGGACATGAAGTAAAACCCCCCCAGCAGACGGTCTGAATTAAAGTAATGCTCTTACAGGTCCCACATTCAACACAGCATCCACACCATGGAGCATGTCGACCTGTGGACCGAACCATCGTCAAACACAATAAAACCACTTCTCCTCAGTTCACTCAGAGTGAAAGAGAAACTTTTCGTGGGCTGGACTCACCTGGAAGTTCAATTTAGTTTCAAACCGGTGAACGCGAGAGCTTCGTCGTTCCTTTCCAGCTGAATGTTACACATTCTTCATGTCTGTATCTCGGCGGATAAAACTCTCCCTGAATTCACGACAGTTCGCGTTTCAACCCCAAACCTGAACTGTGTCTGCTCCGAGCGTCTCCTTCTTTCTGAAACAGCCCTGAAAGCAGACGACCACACACTTGGGACAGTTTAAATGAGCTAAAAGCTAAAGCAGCTCCATCCTCGGACACAGCAGGGACAACAAGTGAGGCAGGAGCGGCCCACAGCGCCCCCTGCTGCTCATCTTTCAGTGAGCGGCCC